CCGAAACCGTCCTGTCGCATAAAATCCTAGGTCTTTCCTTCCCTCGAAACCACCTCCTTATGCTTCCGCTTTTAGAGGCAGAAATATGGTTGAGAAGAAGGGGCCGTAATTTTTTTTAGCAAGTTTCTTTATAATTAGATATTGACACCTAAAAATTTTTAGCGCGAATATCTTGCTGTCTGAGCCCTGAGTCTTTTCTTCCCTCGAGACCAAGTTCCCTGTTTTTTTTTTGCTTCTAGGGACAAAAATGTGGTTTTAGCGAAGTTCAAAAGGCCAAAATCTCCAGAGAAGATAATTTCCTGTCGCAAGAAGCTCATGGGTCTGTCTTTCCCTCGGGACCACTTTTCTGCCTTCAGAGGCAGAAGTCTGGTTTTTTCAGAGTAGAATGGCCACAAGTGAATTTTAAACAAGTTTCTGTAGAATAAACATTGACACCCAGAAACTCTCAGCGAAAGTATCTTGCTGGCTGAGCTCATGAGTCTCTTCCCCTCGAGAGCAAGCTATCTGTGCTGTTTCACTTTTAAGGGTAGAAGTACGGGTTTTGCAGAGTAGAATGGCCACGAATTTCAAAAAGTTGCTGTATAATAAAACATCGACACCCAGAAACTTCTGGCGAAAATATCTTGCTGCCTGAGGCCATAATTCTTTCTTACCTCGAAACCAAGCTCCTTGTGCTTTTTTGCTTTTAGGCCAGAAGTGTGGTTTTTGAGTTTTGTGGTTTTTGCGAAGTTTTGGAGTTCAACGCCTTAGCGAAAATATCCTGTTGGATGAAACTCATGGGCTGTCCTTCCCTAGAGACTGAATTCCCTGTGCTTTTCTGCTTTTAGGGGCAGAAGTTTCAGTTTTTGCGATGTCTGGGGGGTCAAACGCCTTAGTGCAAATGTTTGTCGCATACAGCTCATGGTTCTGTCTTTTCCTCGAAACCAAGCTATCTGTGCTGTTTCGCTTTTAGAGGAAGAAGTGTGGTTTTTGCAAAGTAGAATGGCCAGAAGTAAATTTTAAGCAAGTTTTTGTAAAATCATTGACACCCAGAAACTTCTGGCGAAAATATCTTGCTGCCTGAAGCCATGATTCTTTCTTCCCTCAAGACCAAGCACCCTGTGCTTTTCTGCTTTCAGGGCAGAAGTACTGGTTTTTGCGAAGTAGAAGGGGCCGAAAGTTTCTTTGAAAATGTCCTGTCGCAAGAAGCTCATGGGTCTGTCCTTCCATAGAGACTAAATTCCCTATGCTTTTCTGCTTTTAGGGGCAGAAGTACTGGTTTTTGCGAAGTCTAGGGGTTAAACATCTTAGCGAAAATGTCTTGTCGGATGAAGCTCATGGGTCTGCCCCTCCCTCGAGAGCACTCTGTGCCTTTTTACTTTTAGAGGCAGAAATATGGTTTTTGCAAAGTAGAAGCGCCAGAAGTAAATTTTAAGCAATTTCTGTATGAATAGACACTGACACTCAGAAAGCGAAAGTATCTTGCTGGCTGAGCTTATGAGTCTTCCCCCGAGACTAAAAGGGCCAGAAGTAAATTTCAAGTAAGTTCTATATAATCATTGACACAGAAACTCCTGGCGAAAATATCTTGCTGACTGAGGCCCTGTCTTTTTTGCTTTTAGGACCAGAGTTGGGTTTTTTGAGTTTGTGGTTTTTGCGAAGTTTGGGGGCCAAAAGTTTCAGTGAAAATGTCCTATCGGATGAGGCTCATCGAGACATCTCCGCTAAAAATTTCTACGAGTCAATATTTCTACGTCTGTCCATCCCCAGAGACCACTTTTCTGCTTTCAGAGGCAGAAGTATGGTCTCTGCAAAGTGGAAGGAACAGAAGTAAATTTCAAGGAAACTTCTATATAATTAGATATTGACTCGTAGAAATTCTTAGCGGAAATGTCTTGCCGCCTCAGTTTATAAGGCTTTACTTCCCTCAAGACCAGGCTGGCTCTTTTTTCTGATTTTAGGAGCAGAAGTAGGATTTTAGAAGGTAAAGGCGGGCCAAAGTGGATCTATAACAACTTTAGGTAAATTTACCGTCTTCGTCAACTCCGAGTGTGATTATAGAATTCTCAGCATGCTCACTTACCCCCGAACCAGTGCCATCTCAACCTCGTAGCTTCAGTTGAAAAAAAAAATGAAATCAATGAAAGTAATGGGTAATCTCAAAAACGGTTACTATCTTTGCAGTGAGCGTGCTCACCTACAACTTGTGCCAAAAATCAGCCGTGTAGCTCTAATTTTACAAAAAATAGAAAAATCGACAGAAATAATAGGTACTTTCAAGAACACTTACTACAATCGTAATCGGCATGCTCTCTTTTCCCATGTGCCAAATCCCAGTTCCGTGGCTTGAATTTTGCAAAAAATCGATAAAGCAAGTGAAGGTAATTGATAACTTGTAAAATAAGAACGTGTTCGTGAGCAGCATGCTCAATTACCAGCCTGTACCAACCCCCAGCGCCGTGATTCAAACATTTCAAAAAAACTGATTGAACCAATAGAGGTGATGGGTATTTTCTAAATTGGTTATCATATTCCTAATCGGCATGCTCGCCTGCTCCCATGTGCCTACTCTTAGCGCCGTAGCTCGAACTTTGCAAAAAAATCGACAAAATGATAAAAGTAATGGGCATTTTTGGAAATGGTTATCATATTCCTAATCGGCATGCTCGCCTGCTCCCGTGTGCCAACTCTTAGCGCCGTAGCTCGAACTTTGCAAAAAAATCGACGAAATGATAAAAGTGATGGGCATTTTTGGAAATGGTTATCATATTCGTAATCAGCATGTTCGCTTACCCCCTGTGCCAACTCTCAGCGCCGTAGCTCGAACTTTGCAAGAAATCGATTAAATGATAAAAGTAATTGATAATTCTAAAAACTAATAGTGTATTCGTAATCAGCATACTCGATTACTTCTCTGTGCCAACTCTCAGCCCCTTAGTTCAAAATTTGCAAAAATCGATAAAATGATAAAAGTAATGGGCATTTTTGAAAATGGTTATCATATTCGTAATCAGCATGCTCGATTACCCCCTGTGCCAACTCTCAGCGCCGTAGCTCGAACTTTGCAAGAAATCGATTAAATGATAAAAGTAATTGATAATTCTAAAAACTAATAGTGTATTCGTAATCAGCATACTCGATTACTTCTCTGTGCCAACTCTCAGCGCCGTAGCTCGAACTTTGCAAGAAATCGATAAAATGATAAAAGTAATTGATAATTCTAAAAACTAAATTGTATTCGTAATCAGCATACTCAATTACCCCTCTGTGCCAACTCCCAGCCCCTTAGTTCAAAATTTGCAAAAAAATCCATAAAATGATGGAAGTAATGGGTATTTTTGAAAATAGTTATCATATTCGTAATGAATAATATTCGTAATATTCGTAATACGTAATAATATTATCATATTTGCTCGATTATCCCCCCCCCCTGTGCCAACTCCCAGCCCCTAGCTTGAACTTTGCAAAAAATCGACGAAATGATAAAAGTAATGGGCATTTTTGGAAATGGTTATCATATTCCTAACCGGCATGCTCGCCTGCTCCCATGTGCCAACTCTTAGCGCCGTAGCTCGAACTTTGCAAAAAAATCGACGAAATGATAAAAGTAATGGGCATTTTTGGAAATGGTTATCATATTCGTAATCAGCATGTTCGCTTACCCCCTGTGCCAACTCTCAGTTCCGTAGCTCGAACTTTGCAAGAAATCGATAAAATGATAAAAGTAATTGATAATTCTAAAAACTAATATTGTATTCGTAATCAGCATACTCAATTACCCCTCTGTGCCAACTCCCAGCCCCTTAGTTCAAAATTTGCAAATAATCAATAAATTTGGTGGAAGTAGTAACAAGTTTCCATACTGGAAAACGACAGACACGAAAACACCATCGACCAGTAAAACACCATCGAGGACGTACAGACAGCATCCACCAGCGTACAGACAAGTACATTCGGTTTTATTTATATAGAAGGATTCTGCTCCGTTTCCTTTGTGTTTAAGCAGCATGTAGCAAACAAACTAAGTGGCGTTGAAAAGCCAAGTATGAGATGAGAGGAGTATGAGCCATGATAATGCGACAATCACAAATAGTTTGGATCTAACAGCGCTGGGCCAATTATAATTGAGTAAACATTGTGAAAATCAAATAGAGAGCATAAGCTGTGCATGATGATATAGACTTTCACTGTTCAACACCGAAACACAATTGAGGAAGTTCATGTTTGATTAAGAATTTTTTGTGAGTTGTCGTGACTAATCAATTCGGGAGGAAGTTTTTTCAAAATACGACACTTGCGACAAGCGAATGAGTCTTGTACTATTTTTTCACCATCCTTTTACCCGAACCAAAGAAATATTCAAGCTGAAATAACGACTATTAATCGGACAAATCCAGAAATCAGAGAAATTCAAACGTACCTCAGATCTGAACATTTTAAACTCTAATAATAAATCAGCAATCATTTTTCTATGGTACAAAGTAATCAGCAATCATTCTTCTATGGTACACGCAATTTCTCGATCCTTCAGGGACGTTTTTGAGAGTTGATCAATACACTTGCTTCATTCCCATCTAATCCAATTCTGTTATAATCTCAAAATCCATCACTTCTCATTTTTCTGGTAAACTGTGTTCTTTTATGTCGCCCAGATTGGAAGTTACCAGAGTACATGGCTTTATTATTCGAAAGAACGGCGACGACGAATTCGACTGTTGTCTTACTAAAGCGCTACGAGAGCAACTTTCAAACACTTTAACGCTCGGCTCAGTTTCTTCAAGTGTTTAGCAGCTAATATTTACATGCGAAAAAAATTAAAAAGAGAAGAAAGCAAAGAAAATGCAGTTGTCCAAAGTGCCTAAGCGACGCGCTGCCGCCGCCGTTGTCACAATTTCATAAGCGACCTACTATCGCCGGCAGCAGAAGGTAAAGCAGTGTCCCAGCTGTAAAATACTCAATGCGAAAATGTGGCGAAAACTTACAAAGCTTCGCTGTTCATGTAGACACATCTTGTTTTTTAGGAGATCACAAAGTTAGTCGTCATGGATCTACTGATGACCATAGCCGCCGTATTGGTAATCGACTTTTTTCGCGGGCTATTATGTCGTTACTGTAATCTATGGTGGTTCTGGAATCTCGAGAAGACTTTCGTGAGTCAAACTGCATGCAGGAGTAATTGATTACTTAGAAATATTTCAGCCAGAATACGGAGAATTCAAAGTAGCTGAAAATGTACTTCATTTGGTTAACAATCAAGGTAAGCTAGGTTATCCTTTGATTTTACAAATTTCTCTGCATAGGGGCACTTTTTGTTTGGCGATAACGATAGTATACCCATTCACAGAGCATCATACCCTTGATAACGCAAGATCAATCTAAGATATTAGGTTGTCCCGAAAGTTCTGTCTTTGCATTTTTAAAAAATCGTAACTTTGCGTTGTCTTAACGAACTTACTTCACCTTCCTTCTTTTCGAAAGAGTAAATCTCTCGCTTTCGAATGGTTTTCTGTAGAGCTTCTGTTATGCGCTCAGTGCAGAAATAAAAATGGAAACAGAAGGCCATATAAAGTTTGCTCATTTCAATTTAAGTCGTCAAAAATCTGGAAAGCTGCAGAAAAGTGTGAAATCGTCAACACGCAAGTTTTTTACCTACTCTTTCTAACTGTGAAAGATTTGTCTTGTTTGGACGTTTCTGTGAGAAATTACGAATTACCAGTTCACTACAGAAAACGCCAAAATTAATTAATTTGCCACTTTTCTCGAAAATCATAACTTTTTAATGAGACTTCCAAACAGGACAAACCTTTCACAGTTGCAAAGGGTAGGTTAGAAAGTCTGATCTCAGATACGAAATTTGCACACTACGGTCTTACTTCTTTCACAAGTTATCTTAGGAAAACTGTAACAATTGCTCTTCCATTGTTGTTGAGAAATATGATCACAACTCTAGGACCACCAACTTTGTAAAGCATTGCTTAATAAAATCAGTGCTTGAAAGCCTTGCTAAAGCTACTGCATGACGAAGGCGCAGAAAAGGTATTAGTTGAGCGGGCGCGAAGGCGGCGCGCGCGTATCTTCACCGTTGTAAATTCTGCGCCTTGTGTGCTCTGTAATAGCAAGTTATAATAAAGCCGCGTTCGTGCTCAAAAATATTGCGCCTTCGTCATGCAGCAGCGTATTAACGCAGTATTCACGCTGTATGCTGAAAGTTCATAACGTCAAACCCATAGCGAAAAAAGATAGGAAAAGAAGAAGGATAGAAAAATAGTTAGATAGAAAAAGATAAGAAGTTGAAGCAAGCTCTACAAAATGATACCTAAAGATCGGCGAAAAACATCGAAGCAAGCGAGTTACTAACAATCAAAAGTGTGCCATCTTTCTGGGGGGGGGGGGTGCGGGAAGTTTCTCACGCGAGCCATATTCTCGCATCTAATGATGTGCCTGCCAGGCACATCCGGGCTCGCTATAACTACTTGTTCTTCAGGAGACCAAAACTCACAAGCCCCACCCCCCCCTCATCTAGTTCGCTCCAAATGCTGAATTCGGAATTTCAAAGAAATTTCCAAAATCGAACTTCAGAATTTGCTCTAATCAAGACCAAATTTCGGATTTAGGGGTTTTCGAAGTTGCCCTTTCTAGAAGTAAGATTTGTTTGTTGCAAAGAACGTTGAGCATTGATAATGCTCAACCAAGATCAAAATTCGGATTTGCAGGTTTTCGAAATTTCATGTTCCAAAACAGGACCAGAATTGGTGAGGGTTCTCGAATTATAAATGGAATATTGGAAAAACATCCGTAGCATGGATTTATACGAAATTGCATGATGATATTGCACAGAACATATATCGTTATCGAAAAAGCGATTTCGAGAACTCGTCCTGAACTTTAGTCTTGATTTGAAAAAAAATTTCAAAATCTCTAAATCCGAATTTTGATCCTGGTGAAGCATTATCGGTGCAAACGTTGGCTTTACAACAAACAAATCTCGCTACTGAAAAGAGCAACATTGAAACACCTGAATCCAAAATTTGGTCTTGGCTGAAGAAAATTCACCTTCTAAACTTCGATTTTGAAAGTTTCTTTGAATTCCGGTTTCAGCATTTGGAGCGATGGATGAACGCGCGGGGTCTGCGATGTCTTGGTCTCCTGAGGAGTTCGTAAGTATGGCCAGTCCGAGTGTGCCTGGCAGGCACATCACTTAGTTGCGAGAATATGGCTCGGGTAAGAAATTTCCCCCACCCTTTTTTTGAGACACCCGGTATATAAAGATATGAATAAATAAATATACAGAGTGTCCGTAAAGTATGTATACACTGTTTGATAGTTAACACCTCTTTTCCCAAGAAGTCTTTTGCCTTACATCGTACCATTTTGTAACGCTGGCTTCAAATTAGATTTATAGTATGGAGCGAATCACCCATCTCTCTTCATTACTGTAGGTTTACTTTGGAAACTTTAAAGAGGGTTCTGGGCCATGAAAGGCCATATTTTGCCTCAGAAAGGAAACAAAACAGTCTGAAAACTTTTACACTACAGAGTGTCCCAAAAAGATGTGCACACTGTTTGATTATTAATAACTCTCTTGCTTTCATGTCTTTTGCCGAGCTTGAGGTACCATTCTGTAGAGCGAGGATAAACTTAGATCCACAGTATGGAGTGAATCACCAGTCACTCTTCGTTACTGTAGGATCACGGTATGAATCTTCAGCATACAGCGTCAATGTGGGACAAGCCTTTTGAAGAAATAATCTCGAAAAGATCTGAAAATTTGTGTAGCAAGGTTTTCAGGCGTGCTGATTTCACTACATAACTCTAAACCAGTTTTTCGAGCTTTGATGGCGTATTCACATTTCTGACAAACATTGGAAAATCAGTTGTTACCCTAAATGTGAAATAGCTCATGAAAGAAACAGTGCGCTGACATGCAATCTTCATATTTAGAATCAGCAACTTCTTTTGACCTAGTTCAAAAGTTTTCGGCTTGTTTGGCTTCCTTTCTGAAACAAAATACCGCTTTCAATGGCTTGAAACCCTACTCGAAATTCCTACCGTAATCTTACAGTAATGAAGAGCTGCTGATAAATCGCTCCATGCTGTAAGTCTAAGTTAAACCTCGCTTTAAAAGTATTGGTACCTCAAGCTCGGCAAAAGACATGAAAGCAAGAGAGTTATTAACAATCAAACAGTGTGCACATCTTTTTGGGACACCCTGTAGGTTAATTAGAGTTGCTGATTCTAAATGTAAAGTTCCCCACTTATTATGATGCTTCACTGAAGACTTATGCCGGGTAGGAAGTAGCGGCCATTTTTTCAATGTTCCTAAAAAGTGCGCTTACACCGTTTAGAATGCTTCGCAATCTTGTAAATAGTCGAGTATTGAACTCAGCGTCTATAAAAAAACTCTATTGCACAAATTTTCACATTTTTTGAAAAATTTTGAAACGGCAGCTTTTTCCACATTGACAATGTTTCAAGTTTCTATCGTAATCCTACACTAATGAAGAGAGATGGGTGATTCGTTCTATACTGCAAATCTAAGTGGAAGCCAGATCTACAAAATGGTATCTGAAGCAAGGCAAAAGACTTCTTGGGAAAAGAGTTATTAACGATCAAAAGTTCGATACATTTTTCTGGGACCCCCTGTATATACTAGGCAAATCCGGCTCCGCCCGGCCCTGTCAATAACATACTTGTAATCAGCATGTTCGATTACCACCCTGTGCCAACTCCCAGCCCCGTAGCTCAAATTTTGCAAAAAATCGATAAAATCGATATCGATCGATGACGAAAAGTAGCCTATGACACCCGCCGGGGCCCAAAGTGTATGTGTGCCAAGTTTGGTCCGGATCGGTTTAGAAATGGAATTTTCTATGCAAAACATACGTACAGACAGACATACAGACAGACAGACAGACAGACAGACAGGCAGACAGACAAACACAGACAGACACAGACAGACACACAGACAGGTTCAGAAATGGAATTTTCTATTCGGAACATACGTACGTACATGACAGACAGACAGACAGACAGACAGACACAGACAGACACACAGACACACATACAGACAGACACACAGACACACAGACAGACAGACACACAGACAGACAGACACACAGACAGACAGACAGACAGACAGACAGATACACAGACACACAGACACACATATAGACAGACACACAGACACACAGACAACACAGACACACAGACACACAGACAGACAGACACACAGACGGACAGACACACAGACAGACAGACACACAGACAGACAGACACACAGACAGACAGACACACAGACACACAGACACACAGACACACAGACACACAGACACACACACAGACAGACAGACAGACAGACAGACAGACAGACACAGACAGACACACAGACACACATACAGACAGACACACAGACACACAGACAGACACACACACAGACAGACAGACAGACAGACAGACAGACAGACAGGCAGACAGACAAACACAGACAGACACACAGACACACAGACACTCATATAGACAGACACACAGACACACAGACAACACAGACACACAGACACACAGACAGACAGACACCAGACGGACAGACACACAGACAGACAGACACACAGACAGACAGACACACAGACACACAGACACACAGACACACATACAGACAGACACACAGACACACAGACAGACACACACACAGACAGACAGACAGACAGACAGACAGACAGACAGGCAGACAGACAAACACAGACAGACACACAGACACACAGACACTCATATAGACAGACACACAGACACACAGACAACACAGACACACAGACACACAGACAGACAGACACCAGACGGACAGACACACAGACAGACAGACACACTGACAGACAGACACACAGACAGACAGACACACAGACACTCATATAGACAGACACACAGACACTCATATAGACAGACACACAGACACACAGACAACACAGACACACAGACACACAGACAGACAGACACACAGACACACAGACAGACAGACAGACAGACAGACAGACAGACAGGCAGACAGACAAACACAGACAGACACACAGACACACAGACACTCATATAGACAGACACACAGACACACAGACAACACAGACACACAGACACACAGACAGACAGACACCAGACGGACAGACACACAGACAGACAGACACACAGACACACAGACAACACAGACACACAGACACACAGACAGACAGACACACAGACACACAGACACACAGACACACACACAGACAGACA